CCCAACCGTCCTCGGCTAGCAGCGCAGCCATTGCCGCTGCCCGGAAACGTTCGGGCAGCTTTGCTGCCTTTTGGGCCCCATCCCGGGTGAAGTGCGCCGCCTCCGCCGTGTTGTGGACGGACTGGCGAGAGAATGGCCTTTCTAGAAGACACTGGCGGCGGAGGAGGAGACGTAATTATTATAATAATAATAATTTTATTCATTCATTTCAAATATTTATGTGCCGCCTTTCTCCTCAAGGACACTAGGCGGCTTACAGTATTAAAAAATAAAAGGTAAAAACCGCATCATACATTACGATATTAAAAAGGATTAAAATATATTAAAATTCATGATGAGAACAACAGTAAAAACACAGAACATTTTGTTCCACCGGCAATAATAATACAAATGTTATCTCACCTGCAGATTTTTAGGACTTGATTCGTCAATTTTGCCCCAGCACTCCAGTAGTCCTGGTTAACAACAATATTTTTTAAGCTCTTCTGTTTTCATGGCATCTTTTTCTACACCCCCTTGACTGTTTTAATGCTCTCTAAACAAACCGCACAGGGAGTGCCCCCAGATTACTTTATACCTAAACCTGTGGAGAAAGTTCTCCCCTTAATGGCACTTCCAATGGGAAATAAATTAGTTCTGGCCCAAATCCGAGTCCCCACTGCTGATTTATTTAACTGGAAACAAGATCTTCCACCATAGCGGGAGACCCTTCAGAAGTACCTGGACTTGATCCAACAGATCATTGCTACTCCCCACTCTTCCGAGCAGCCTAAGTGCAGATGAGAAATGCCAGGCTCTTGCTAAGACCTATGCCTGGTATACTAATAGGGTTCAACAAATAGCCGATGGCAATGGCACAGTTGATTGGCCTGAAGCAGCAGCCCTCATAACCAGAGTTATTGATCCCAGTCCTAATACAGTGGTACCTCGCTTAACGGCGATAATCCGTTCTAGGAAAATCACCGTTAAGCGAAAACATCGTAAAGCGAAAATAAAAAGCCCATTGAAACGCATTGAAAACCTTTCAGTGCGTTCCAATAGGCTTAAAACTCACCGTGCAGCGAAGATCCTCCATACGGCAGCCATTGCTGCCTGTATAGCGAGGAATCCGTCCCTAAACACAGCAATTGCGATCACAAAAAGATTGTCGTAAAGTGGATTTGTTGTAATGTGGGGCAATCGTAAAGTGAGGCACCACTGTAAGCTTGCTGGGGCCCACCTGCTGAAAGCAGCAAGCAGCATGGCCTCAAACTAGGAGTGCCAAAAGCTGTGAAACTTTCACAGAGTATATAAGATTGTTTTTAAAAAACTCAGCGGAATCCCCAAATGAATTCCTGACGAGGGTCAAGGATGGTTGTCACCGGTACACTCACCTTGATCCGGATTTTGAATCAACAGCCAGCTGTGCTACAGGTGCAACTCCAAAAGCACCCAGCCATGTGTGACTGCAGCTGCTGAACTGCCTGAGTCCTGCAGCTGGTCTGGTCAGATAGCTATGCATCAGCTGTAGCACAGCTACACAAAAGCACTTTGCAGATGTTTCTCTGCTGTCTACTCATTGTATAAGATGCAAGGGTGCTTCTGAGGAGAGATACCTGTTCAATAAAATGCTATGTACAGCAACTCTGAGTCAAGTTTCTTTATTAGACAAGGTAGCTCAGGGCCATGCTCCTAGGGAAGGATATTGCAGGAAAAAGGGAGGGACACAAGCCCTTATTTATTTAGTTAGTTAGTTAGTTAGTTAGTTAGTTAGTTAGTTAGTTAGTTAGTTAGTTAACTTATATGCCACCCACTCTACCCAACGGTCTCTGGGTGGCTTACAACAATTAAAATTCAATAAAAGATAAAATGATTTAAATACAATTAAAATTGCCATCAGGACCCACAGTTGATGTTATTTCAATTAAAAGCCTTCTGGAACAGGAAGGTTTTGACCTGGCGCTGAAATGTCATCAATGTCAGTACCATACTAATTTCAGTTGGTAGGGCATTCCATAGTCTGGGGGCAGCTGCTGAAAAGGCCCTTTGTCTACAAGCCATCCCTCTTACCTCCTTGAGGGACGGCTCTTTCAAAAGGACCCCCTGGCTAGATCTTAACTGCCGGGTAGGCTCATATGGAAGGAGGCGGTCCTTCAGGTATCCAGGGCCCAAGCCGTTTTTCATTGATAATGATAATCATGAGCTGTGTGAATGGGATGACTCATGAAGCTGAGGGGACTGGGAAGACACTGGCATGGATACAGGCTGGTGCCCTAATCATCAGTCAAGAGGTAGGGGATGGGCAAGATATCACCGGGATGGATGCAAGCTGGCCCCACCAATCATGAGCCAAAAGGTGAGGGTGGGAGGAATTCAAACCCCCCCCCCCCATCATGAACCAGGAGGTAAGAGGCAGGTGGCTTGACAGTGGTAGGGATTCAAGCTGGCCCTCCAATCAAGCCACAAATTTAGTATTGTGGAAGGGACCCAAGCTGCCCACTTATGAGTAAAAACAGAAGGGAGAGTCCAAGTGCAAACTCAACATTATCCAACCAGGAAGGAGAGCAGGAAAATGGACAGTGAAAGGCCAGGCCTTGAACTGTGTAGAGTTGTGTAGCATTGTGTAGAGTTGTGTCAGATGGACAACAGACTATAGGATCCCTGGAAAGCGCAGCCTAAGAATTTTTGGCTGAAGTATAACTTTACACAGCCCTAGTCACTAACCTTGCCACTAATCATGAGGGGGAAAAGGGAGTAATATGAGGCCATCCTATAGATCAATAAACAGAAGTTTTCTTCGGCTGTCTCCTGTGGTTCTCTCAGACAATGAGGTGGGTGGACGTTTAAATGAGAGAAAAGCAGATGTCATGGGGGCACTCTGACTGCACCAGATGCACTAGGATGGACTTAGTCTTCTACGGCACAAACTGGTGTTGCAGTGGGTTTCATGGCAGCTGCAGAAAGGACTTGCATTTGGGGGCAATAGCACACTGTATCTTTAACAGGCATCTGTCTCTTAATTGTGAGAGTCTGGTTCAGCCAGCTTGAGGCCAGCCTGGCTAGTTAGGATTTTGCCCTAAGTCAGGAGGAGAAAAAGAAAGAAAGATTTATTTTAGAGCTAACCTTTTTTTAAATTTGGACCAGGGTTCTGTGACATAAATAGTGCTTTGAATGGCAGTTACAGTAGTTCTCCAACATCTTATATTCCATTCTTGACGCATGACCTAAAAAGGAGTAGGTAAATAGCTTCACGCCATTAACTAAGATAGTTAATGGATGCTCATTTGAAGATACTACTTATCATTTATCAGCTTATAAAAAAACAAAAACAAAATAGCCCGACAGCAGCCCATGCAGAAGTATTTATGATCCACCGGACAAGACTTTTATTTCACTCTTACAAGCAGCCTGGTTGGGCTTAAGAGTGTGAGAGACATTTAAATAACTACTGTATTGACATATTGCTGAGGACATAATGAGAGGTGTCACATGACCTCTGAGGTCACATGATTGCTGGAGCAACAGTGCTCTAAGTTCTTGACAGTTGGTCTTTGCCCACTTACTGCTTTCCTGCCTCAACAGCCATTGGGAGCAGAGTGAGTTAGAGAGACCTTGGCTTTTCAAAATTACTTACATTTACCTTTCATCCAGGCTTAACCGTGGACTTTCTCAGCCATTCAGGTTCATAGTTTGTAGAGATGTACTCCAATCAGCGCTTCCCACAAGGCTGTGCTGGGGCTGGATGTTGGTGCAATTATAAAATTCTTCTGCCCCTAGCCAGCCCTTTTTCCTTTGAGTTAACCTGCCCGCCCTGGGTCCAGTGTGGCTGAGGTGGTTGCTTCGGGGCTAGATAGGAATTTTGGGTCCGTCTCACCTGATTGGCATATAAAAGGTGGGTGGACGTATTTTTGCCTATCCCACACTGTTTACCCATGGGATTCTGAGAGCTATTCTAGGTTTGAGTCATGTTTAAATAGGTCAAACTGTCAGGGAATGCGGAAGAGAAGGTGAGTTTCAGTGAGCTCCCCAAAAGCACATGGGGTCCTACTGCACCCAGCATCACAGCAACCAGGATCTAGCCTTTCACTTGCTGGGATGAGGGGTGAATAAGGTATAGTCCCATCCATTGCAGGTCTTAGTTCTAGACAATTGGATGGATGGCAGATAGGGAGGTTTTTCTTTGCAGTCTGTGGCCAGCTGGGTACGAGCTGTTCAGGGGACAGCTCTACCAGGGGCTTGGGACTCACCCGCTTAGGATTGGAGAGGGAGTAAGAGATACCCCTAGAGCAGGCTCCACATGGCATCCAGGCCCCTCTGCAGGATGAGAGTGATTTGTGGTTAAAAACAATAAAGTGTGGCCCTAGTTAACGCCAACACCTTTGTCCGTCTGTTTATTTTGAGATAAACTGCTCCCTTTCAGTCTTTGGTGCTGCACATGTTCAACTACTTGGTGACAATAACAATATATTTTGAAATATGTTGTGTTCTACCTACATGGAAGAAACAAATATATGTAGGCTTTGTTCTGTTCTACTAGATACCAAGATTCCTTTTCTTTTTTTGTTTGTTCCTTGTTGGCCCCGGCTCTTCAGCCCTGGTGGTGGCGGCAAACAAGCAGCAGCAGGAAAGGAAAAAGGAAAGGAGAGAGAGGGAGGGAACGAGCGACAAACTGTCAAGATGGAGATGGGGAGATGCGAAAGGAGACGGGGAGGGGAGCATGTGAGAGAAGGCTGTTCTCTCAGCATCACCCCCTCCCACGGCATCTCTGGGCAGGGAGCGGAGGAGCACCAGACGGGAGGAAGGAGAAGCGCGTGGCCAGGTTGCAAGTGGGGCCCCTCCTTCACCTCAGCCATAGAGAGGACAAGGCAACAGCAGCCTCGCCAGGTGACCCGTGAACAGCGGGGGGGGAGAGACCTAAAAGCAGAAGCCCCCGTGGTGCCAAACCCCTGAGGGAGAAGACTGCTGGGCAGGAAGAAGGCTTCCCTTCTGAAAGCATGGGTGCTTCGGGGGGGCAGGTGGGACCCAGCCCCTACAAGGAGTGGAAGAAGCCCTGCACTCATCAAGTAGGTGCCGCCACCGCTGCTCCCACTCCAGGTTGGGCTGAAATTAGAAGCCAGGCAGATTTTAAGAGTGGGTGGCCGTGTCACGCTTGTGTGTATGCGCACAAGCATGACACGCCCCTCCACGAGTGTGACACCCCCCCACACGTGCAACACCCCCCATGCATGCGTGCAGGGGGGCGGAGGTCCACGTCCACGACCCAGTTAAAGGAAGCCCACGGACCGGGGGTTGACGACCCCTGCTCTATCAGCACAACATTTCATATCTTGATGTATATCTACAGTCTTCAAAGAAGCAAAATTTTGTGCGTGTGCTCTGCAACAGAATACCACAAGTATTCTCAAGTGTACCTCAAAAGTGTGACCAAATAAAGTTCTGCTCATTCTTTCAGCTCTCAGAATGGTCAAGCTCAGAAAGGACAAATTCTCTTCTTCTCCCATCTGGGAGCATTTTCTATTTGGGTAAGAGAGATTTCTTTTTTGGGGAATATTCCATGCTCATTTCTTATCTGCCTCAATGTATTTGAAAGCACATTTTTTAAAAATCCAAGCTGCATTGTTTGAAATGGCTCTCTCACACAACTTGACTTCTCCAACATAATACTAAATTTGAAAAAAAAATGTCATGAGCAGTCTTGGGTCCCGGTTCAGGAGGGAGGAAGGCAGGATATACAGCGGTGCCTCGCAAGATGAGCGCCCCGTTT